TGGATCAGCTGATCCATGGGATGCGGGTTACGGTTAAGGGGCTTCCAGCACCTCAAAAATAATAAGATCTCCCTCCCCAAAAATAAGACAGGGTCTTATTTTCTTTTGACCCCTGAAATAAGTGCTTGGCCTTATTTTTGGGGAGGGAGGTCTTATTATTTGTGAGGTGCTGGAAGCCCCTTAACCGTAACCCGCATCCCATGGATCAGCTGATCCAGAGAGGGCCAGAAGTTCTGTCTCTGTTTCTGGCATACTCTTGCCATCCCTAGCATCACTGGGCTTACCGCACTTTTTGTGGCCATCACTAAGAGAAAGGGCACAGTAACTAGTACTTGTGGGAGCAGCCTCCACAAGGCCATTCCTCATGGATGGCAAGTGCATGTGGGGCCCTCCCCCCCCCAGAAATGGCAGTGACCAGCTTGCATGCATTTAAATATTTTAGGAGAGGGATTATTTTGGGGGCAGGGCTTATTTTAGCACATGCACTCAAAAGCCCAATTGGGCTTATTATGCAAGGAGGTCTTATTTTCAGGGAAACAGAGTAGATCTCTTGAAAATTATTGGGAATGTGTACACCTACTAATAAAATATGTGTCATATGGTCTGCTATTGCATTTAGTAATAATCTTGCTATTACATATGTGTAATCTTGTGAATTGTGTGCCTTAGTTTATTTAAAAACTTAAAGCTTCATAAAATCCAGTTCTTAGGATCAGCTACCAAAGTTCTTTGAATAATTTTTGACTCTTACACATTTATTCTTACACATCTTACACTTTATTCATAGATACCTTCAGTCCAATCAACAATTTTATTGCCTCTTTTTAAACTTGGTTTTCAGATCTGTTCTAAGCCTGACTTTGCTAAATATTTAACACACAGAGAGAGTCAGTTCTCCACAGATCTGGTAGTTTTGTTTTATATTTAAAAAGTACTTTACTACTCCATGTACTTCCTCAGAAGTATTCCAAATAATGAAGATGCTTATATTTCTTGCATAGTTTTGCTAAGGTGGGCATTTCTGCTATTGGAATTAGAAAGATTAGAAAGTATTGTTAGATTCCCTCCTTCTTTTGCAAGCTTCTACATTTCTCCATGAGGACTGAGTATCATCCAGAATGGTTTTGGAGATTACCATGGAAATGAGAAGAATCAACAAAAATGTTCTATTTTTTATATTTTTTATATTTACTCACTTTTTAAGACCACCCACATTAATGACTTTTGCAGAAGGCTGACAAAGTAAAAAGAAATTTCTAGTATTAAAAAAAAACCAGCCAAGCTGTCAAGAATAAATTAGATGTATTCAATTGTTGCAGGTAGTCAATAGGACCACAGCTGAATCTAAGTAGAGCTACCAAGTTCTTGTTTTCCTCTTCTTCTGTGTGGAATGCCTTGAATATAGCTGCGGTGGTGCAGTGGTTAAAGTACAGTACTGCAGGCTACTTCTGCTGACTGCCAGCTGCCTGTAATTTGGCAGTTTGGCTGGTTTTTTTT